TTAATATGTGGTGGACCACATAAGATGTATAATCTTAAGTTCATAACTACAAATCTTAATTTCCTCCAATTAGATGGATAATAATATTATATGGTAAAATTATATATATATGTATATATATATATATATATATATACACACAAATATAAACTTGAACAAAATTTTAACTATGTCATATAATGTAACGTTATTCTCTATGATTTTATCAAGCCTGTAAAAATATCCTAATAGTCAATCCAGATCATCGTTCAGAATACTTAACTAAAAACTAAAATAGTTGTTACAGTCTCATTTATAAAACAATGTTGTTTTAGGATAAATTTTTAGTTTTAATTACTTTTTTATATTGTACTAATTCCAAATTATATACATATAAATACTCTTAAAGTATGGCTAGATACTTTTACTTATTTTTAAAATATTTTCTTTAAAAATATTTTTATACTCATTATGACCTCTTAATGTTAATTGAAAGTCCATATTTTCAAAAAGAGCAACATATAACTATCTAAATTATTTGGAACTCACATTGTTTAAATCTTGCACAATCGTCAAAAGATGTCAGAAAAAAATACTGAGTGAATCCTTACACTTTCATGTATATTAGTTGCATACACTATCTTTTTTGATAAAAATATTTTTTAAACTCTACTTTAATGAAATGCACATTTTAACTAAACTATACAGTACATAATTTATAATATAATAAAAATAAAAATTAATGTTAGTTACCATTATTATTTTTTCTAATCAATTTATTATTGTGTTCAAATATTTTCTTTAACTCTGTTCAAAGTTGATTTATTTTATAATATATATTTGATTACTACAGTCAATTGTTTTTAGTTAACTGAATTTTATTTGTCATTATTCATACTTATAATTTTACTATATCTATATTTATATCTCTTTTACTAATCGTTGTAATTACAGTTGTATTATTATAAAAATATCAAATGTAAAAGATATTTGAAGCAATCAAATTCATTTATTTGGCAATATGTCTTCGCATTTAATTTTTTTTAATGTTCATCATTGTTCTATTATCGAGTAGTTTTTATCATTATATTTCAGTTTATAAGTTTTTTATTCTTGTTAAAAATTGACTTTTTTGATAAAAAATATTTTTTAAACTTTATAGTACATAATTTATAGATTTATAGTATAATAAAAATTAATATTACTTAGAATTATTATTTTTTATAATGAATTTATTATTGTGTTCAAATATTTCTTATAGCTCTATTTAAAGTTGACATATTTTATAATATATTTGATAACTATGTTCAGTTAATTTTATAATATATTTGATAATCATTGTAATAATAGTTTTATATTATAAATATATCAAATGTAAAAGATATCTTAAGCAATCAATATTCATGAATTTGGCATTACGTCTTTGCATTTAATTTTTTTAATGTTCTTCATTGTTCTATTGTACAGTAGTTTTTATCACTATATTTCAGTTTATAAGTTTTTTATTCTTTTTTAAAAATTGAATTTTTTGATAATTTTTTTTTTAAACTTTACTTTAATGAAAGACACCTTTTAATTAAACTATGTAGTAAATAATTTATAAATGTATAGTATAATAAAAATAAAAATTGATATTAGTTGGCATTATTATTTTTTTCTAATCAAGTTATTATTGTGCTCAAATATTTCTTAAAGTAATTAAATATAAATATTAATAAAAATAATAAAAGTAAAAAAATAACATACTTTTTATATTTTAATAATTGCTAATATTTTATAAATTCATGTGCAAAATTTATATTTTGTTTTCTTTCATATTATGTCATGTGTTTTTTTCTTATTAGTTTTATTCTTATCTAATTTGTGTTTTTGTTGTACAGATAATACATTTCTTGACTAAATTATAAAAACTTACCATTTGGTAAGCTAATGTCATAGTTTTGGTGTTCTGTACAGTATCAAACAAACACATTTTGATAATTTTAAAAGTTTGTTCAAATTTTAATATTACTGAAAATGCGGAGTGAAAAAAAATTCAAAAGGGGATATTGTGATAAATAAAAGGCATGGATAATTAGCTACTCTCCAAAGGTTACGCAAGTGGAGAGTCTGGTCGCTAGAATGTAGTTTCCTCTTTGCTTAGGTATTTAAATTATTATTATATTAATTAATAATTAAAAATATTAGTATAGATGAGTATTAAATTACATATTTGACATTATAGATATGAAAAAGTAAGGGTATTGTAGGCATATCATATTTTTACAGATTCATTGGCTCTTTTATAATAGTATAGATAAAGACCAATGCTTTTAGAAAGGGTTTGTTTTTCTTGCTAATTATTGTGTTGCAAATTGATGAAAAAACAGAGGAGAAAACAGAGCAAGAACAGAGGTTAACCTTCATCCCGGGACTCGAAAACGTGCGCCTGGCTGACCTCCCGCCGGAAATTTTCCTCGACGACAACCCGTCCCCCCTCGCCCTAACCATCGGCAACATGGTCCGGAACCTTCCAAAATCGTCGGCCGTCGTCCTCAATTCCTTCGACGAGATCGACCCTGCCATCACCGCCGATCTCCGCCGCAAATTCCGCCGCTTCCTCAACGTGGGCCCCACCACGCTCCTCACGTCCCCCAACGATACCGATAGCGACCCGACCGGGTGCCTCCCGTGGCTCGATGGGTTCCGAAACATACCCCGGT